ACATAATTTTGAAGCTGTTTTTCACACAGTTATACCTGCAGTCCCTCCTCAGAATTTCTGCCCTTGCCCTGGATTCAAGCTACATATGATGTTTTGAAACCTCAACTTAAATGCAAAGTCTATGAACTCCTAGGGCTGCTGACTTCACAAATAAGTTTCCTTAGTTTCTCGAAATCTTGTTCTTCACATTTAAATCTCCGATTGGAACTTAAATAAGTTAATCCTTCTTTTTAGAGGCTAGAGAGATGAGCAGTTCCTGGTCGCTTGTCTCAAGGGTGTATCTATTAACAGCTTTTATACAAGTCCCCCACATTGTCAAAACTGAGTTTAAAAATTACACTAGACATTACTGACTCCATGACTCTACAGTGAGCAACTCTGGCTATACAAGAGGAGCAGAGAAGTCTGGTCTCTACCTTGGAACATGCCAGACACACTTTCCAGGCTGTGCAGTGCAGCTTCTCCTCCATAAAAAACAAGATACAAGGACAACAGACCTCATCCAAACACCAAATCAAACCAAACAGATCATGTATCAAATTATGCAATACCCAAGACCTGCTAGTCAGTCAACCTGTACCTGGAAATTTAACCATCTTAGCATAAATGGTTTTTTTTTTCCTAAGCCATGTTTTAGATGCCATACTGTAAGAAGTCAAGCTACCTTAAAATATACACTGCAATACTGCATTACCTTCTCTACCTTAAATGTCACTCAAAATATTAAACTAGGTAAAAACAGCTAGTGGAAAACATATCTAAATGTAACGGGACTTTACCATTTCTTCATCTTTATAACAAGTCAGAAAACAGCACGTGGCTGAATAAGGCAGAAAACAGCAAATTACTGAATTACCTTGTCAACAGGACTTGGTAATGGAGCATGGATAACACTAAAAAAAAAAAAATTTAAAAAGTGAACACACAGTGCAGTATAGCAGTTCAAAAATCTAGAAGACCCCTAGTAGTGTGCATTTAATCAAGATGCTTTGTATTAAGTTTATTCTTCAGATAAAAATGAAGACTTAACATACAAATGTGCAAAACCAGTTAATACTATGCTGAGCAATGCTTTCAAAGTTACAGAACTATATTCAAATTATAAATCCAAGGTCTATTCTAAAAACTCTCTTTACGAACTTTTATTTCAGTAGTTACATAATATTTGAGTTTTTTTAAAAACTGATTTATTAAGATTTAAACGAGTTTACATGCACAAAACAATAGATATGAAAAGGCAGTGGATGTACTACTCTCGTTTACAAATTCAACAAACTGAGTAAAATAATATTTGGTAACTTACAGAATTTTGTACACTTTCACTAGAGCAAATGTTATACTTGCACATTTTCATCAGAACTAAAAATTTAACACCATACATTTCTACTATTTCTTATTAGGACATGTAATTACATGGAAAATTACCCATAACAGTTTATTTCGACTTAACTTCCCAGAAGCAAAGACACCCTAAAGCTTCATGCAAATATTTCTGGATACTAGTGACAAAAGAATATTTAAATAAACAATCAAAAATATACAACTGCTGAGGATAGAATATGATTAAAATTATGCATTTGCAACTGGCACTCAGTTACTGCAAACAAAATGTTTGCATTTTTTGTTTCTGCTGCTCTTTGAAATTTTCTCCAAAATGTGCACATATATACAGAAAACCCTCTCAATATTTATCTGAGTTTCCAAACATTATTCCATCCAAGATATTTTATGATTTTTTTTTTCCTCACGCCAGGCAAAGCTTTCTTTCATTGCGACACCAAGTAACTGCACCACGAGACACATTACTGTATTACTTATCTGAAGAATATAAACAGTGTTACATGTACACACATAAAGACACCATCAACCTCACTTTAGTAGGGTCTATGTGCATTTAAAGGAGCAAAAATAAAAATCCCAAATAAAAAAGAGGGAAGGAGAATGCTCATTTGCTTTCTTTTGTCCTATATTCTTCTGTTTATAATACCTATTCTAGTACACTAAACCACAGAGTCAGAAAAGCCCAACTTGATCAGAACTTTTTATTGTTTTATGGAAATTTTACACCCTTTCGTAGTTATCTTAATTTCTAAAAGCAACAAGCAAATGAGATTTTTTTTTTAGAATGCCTGCAAAAGAACCATGCTCTCAGTCATTTTCTTTGCATGATCACAGAAAAAGAAACTGTTCCTATGCTGATTTGAAACATAATATCCTTCAAATCCTCATTATACAGCAGTTTAATTTTGCTACACACGAATAGATACTTATTCTTACTCTGATCGCAATCGAGCTTCCATTCCATCTGGAAGAAACAGTTTGATTGTGGAGACTATACATCCATGGGTAACTGAAAAGAAACAAATACTAAGTCATCATGATTTGTTACTATTTAATTATAAGTTCAATGGTTAATGTTATAGTAACCAAGCGAACTGCCTTAAGAAACTCTGAAGCAGGCAAACAAGAAGAGGCATGAACGCCTTCAAGCACCAGTGCCTGGGTCTGCATTCTCCGACCTCCTTTGGAGACAGGAAACTATCATTAGTGTCATGGTTTAACCCCAGATGGCAGTTAAGCACCACACAGTTGCTTGCCCACTCCCCCCCCCCAGGTGGGATGTGGGAGAGAATCAGAAGGGTAAAAGTGAGAAAACTCATGGGTTGAGATAAAGACAGGTTAACAAGTAGAGGAAAAGCCGTGCACGCAAGCAAAGCAAAACAAGGAATTCATCCACCGCTTCCCATGGGCAGGCAGGTGTTCAGCCATCTCCAGGAAAGCAGGGCTCCATCACACGTAACGGTGATTTGGGAAGACAAATGTCATCACTGCAAACATCCCCCCCTTCCTTCCTCTTCCCCCAGTTTTATATGCTGAGCATGACGTCCTATGGTGTGGGATATCCCTTTGGTCAGTTGGGGTCAGCTGTCCCGGCTGTGCCCCCTCCCAGCTTCTTGTGCACCCCCAGCCTGCTCGCTGGTGGGGTGGGGTGAGGAGCAGAAGAGGCCTTGACTCTGTGTCAGCACTGCTCAGCAGTAACTAAAACATCCCTGTGTCACCAACACTGCTTTCAGCACAAATCCAAAACAGAACCCCATACGAGCTGCTATGAAGAAAATTAACTCTATCCCAGCCAAAATCAGTACAATTAGAAACTTGAAGAGGTTATGCCGTGCACTTAGCCCTAGCTGTGCAGCAGTTACAGTTCCAATTCTTCCACACGCAGCAATGCCTGCAAGATGTCTTTACTGCAGCAAGTTAAAAAAGTTAACTGTATGTTTTGATCTTAAAATGAGGAAAAAAGAATGCATCTTAGCTGTGCTAGGTAACAGGAATGCAGAAGTATAAACAAAATAATGAGCTACCTTTCTGACAAGATTCCTATGAGCATACCCAGGGACTTAAAAGGTAACACATCCAATTTGTGTCGCCAGACGCTCACTTCAACATCTGGAACTTGCCAAGTGATGGTCATTTACAAACACAAGGATCAAAAAGGGAATGCAGAGGAAGAGCATAAGAACCACCGAGAAGTACATCCTCTTGAATGCTATGAGCGGCATCATTCAAGACAATACATCTCTATTTTGGTATGCTTGTAGTACACGTCTAATGCACAGCCCTAGACAAATGGCCTCATTTCAGAAGGAGGAAGCTTGCTTCTCCAAGACTAAATTCAAGATTCTTTGAACTCAAGAAAAATCCTAAGGAATAAGAGGAGCAAATGCAACAATATTTGACTCTTACATTAAGTTCAACCTCTCTTCACGTTTCCCAAAAATGTTACTGATACCATTTTCAATGACATTGCAAACAGTCAAATTACATCTGGTTTTTCTTTGTTTGTTTTGGTTTTTTTCTTGTATGGTTCTATGATTTGGGAAATAAAAATTCTTTCCAGATACATGGAAAGACAGACGACGTTCCCGAAAATAATACCACAAGCTAGATACAAATAAGTATATGGTCATCTACCATCTACCACTATACCTAAAGCACCCACCAACATCCAAAGACAAATAGCTGCTCTACTTTCATGGTTATTAATATCAGCAAAACAGTTAATCTGGCTTTGGGGGGAGGGGGGAGGACAATGGGTGTTTTAGGACAACGGCAGTACTCCAGGGAAACGAGACAGGTCTTTGAGGAAGCTACCTCAATAGAATCTAAAAATACAGGAGAAATGATCCAGCTAAACAGAGTTGTTCTTAACCTTTATTCAGTGCTAAAAGCTAACGCTTTGGACAAGTATCCTCTTCGCTACAGCACCTTGTTTTTTCAAGCTGACCTGGTAAAGTATTAAATTTACATGCCAGCGAAGAACAGCCAGGACCTCATTCTCAAAACAGATTAATCCATGGGTATTGGGGTCTTTTTTGGCTTTAGACTTAGGTCCCCAGAATTCACAAATCTGTTCTTGCAAAAACATTAAAAAATACATTAGCAATATTAGCTGTAGCATGTAATACTCAGACAGCTTTCATAATGAAGAATCTTTCCTTTAAGACATAAAGAGGAAATTAGCGATTTCAAGAAGAATGTATTACGGTTTCTGAAATTGAAGACCAATAGACAGCTTTACCTTTGGGTCATGTATCAGGTGGATCTGGTGTGAGATTATGTAATTTTGAAGTTTTTCCATCAGCACTCAGACTGAAAAAAAGAATCTAAAAGCTGCAGGAGCTTTATTTGTGTAAAAAAATTCAGAGATAAAGGGGATTTAGCAGAGGGTCTCAAATAGACAGTGACCGTGAAAAGATACCAATCATTTTGATAGGTTTATAAACTAAAAATAATTTAAAAAAAGAGAAAAAAAAAACCCTGCACTCTGTCCTTTAGCTATCAGTTCATTATAACTGAAAGAATAATGAGAAAGCCTAAGGGAAAAGTAAAGCAACATATAAAACATTATTATAGTGATGACTGGACAGGATAGGCGTGAATTTAAACGATTACCACTATATTATTCCTTCTTTGTATTATTCCCTTTGGGGAATAATAATTAAAAAAAAAAAAAAAAGCAGTAAAGCAACCTCTGGTTGCCAAATGGGATTGAGAAAATTCTTCTCAAACTAAAACATATTCCCTCCTCTCCCCACGTCCCAGATGGCGCGCCAGGCACTCACCTCCCGGG